AACTAATTAGAAAATACTGGACAACTTATATGTCCGGTATTTTCTTAATGTTCCCCCCGACAGAACCCTCAAATACCGGACTGGCCAGTTCAAATCCGGACACCTGGCAACCCTATTCAGGGCAGGGGCTGGTGGTGTGCATGGGGGGGCAAGGCCTTGAGGATGTGGGGGGTGGTAGGAGGCTGGGGACAGGGCTGGCTCAAGCCATTCCTTCGCCCCAGGCAGCAGGCGCGCAACTCATGCACAGCCCCACCCCCCGGCGTGCTGCACCCCTTATAGCTGCAATCAGGCGCATGACGCCTGATTGCAGGTCGAAGGGGCATGGCGCGGCGCGTGGCCCCGTGGCACCTGATGGCAGCTCTAAGGGACCATCAGGCACCCCCATAGGTTGGCGCCCTGGGCAGCTGCCCGGCTAGCCCCCCCCTTAATCCGGCCCTGGTTGGGGGCAGGGGGAGTAAGGGCATGGAGGGGAGGAGACGCTCAGGGCAGGAGGTCTCTTCCCATGGCTGGCAGGGCCTTTTCTTACCCCCAGGCAGCAGCAGGCTTCGGTCTCCTTCAGTCTTTTCTCTCCCCCAGTGCCTCCAGCCCGTAGGGACCTTCTGTTCCCTGCCCCCAGCCACCTCCGGCTGCCAGGGGCCTCCTGTCTGCTCCCAGCCCCCCTTCTATCAGGGGCCTTTTGTCTCCCCTCAGCCCTGGCTGCAGGGGCCCTGCCCTGGTGTTGTGGCCAAGGGCTGGGTAGGAAAAGGGTTTGGGACAGGGGGCTACTTACTCAGTGCGCTGGGAGGTAAGAAGGTGGAGCCCCAGTCCTGTGAGCCACTCTCTTGAGTGCAGCTGCTCCCAGTGGCCACTCTGCAGAATAGCTCTCCCCTGTAGGCTTGCTGCCCCCAGTGGCCATCCTCAGTATCACTTTCCCCCTCTGCCCTTCCCTTTCCATGTTATGGAAAACAGTCCCATTCCCAGCACTTCCTGCTTTCTTGGCACAGTCAAACCCTGACCTTGCTTTAAGGCACAGGAAAATTGGGGGTTCTAGCTCTTACTATTTAGGAGAAGTTCTGGAACAAATGGGCTTCTGGATAGACACATAGACAGACGATCTCACAGAGACACAAATCTCTAAAATGTATATAAAGTGAGTATGTCAATATGTGTGAACATATTTCTATCACAATTCTCTTATACAGGCTACATAGGCCCTCATAATGTAAAACTTTGGTTTCAAGCCACAGGAAACTTTGGGCCACATACTTGGCCGGGGAAGATCATCAGTGCAGCTAAAGCAACATAGCTCCCCAGGGAGTTACAACAATTTACACTTGTTGTTGAGGGTCTGTCCCCCTAATACCAACATATTGATGATACACAGGTTTGGCCACATAGAAATTATCGCACTACATCAGGCTAGTGAACCATCTAGACTCATGTGTTGCCTCTGATAGTGGTCACTACCAAATAATTCACAGGAAGGTGCAAGACACCCCATCATGCACAATTATAGAATAACAACATATAGGGAGAAATTTCTTCCTAACCCAAAACACTTAGTGGATGAGCACTTAAGGATACAAAGCTTTGTATCCTTAAGAATTAACCCCCCCCCCACACACACACACACCTCTTATATAAATAATGAATGTGCCAGTTTGGGGGAATGTATCTGTGCCCAGTTATAGATTACATTTGTTTTTGTGAACACTATTTGTAATTTGCTATCATTGTGGATTAGATCATCCATTTTGTGGCAGGAACTTTGTAGTGGAGAGACTATATCTGGAAAGACTCAAGGGCTATCAACATTGAATGACTCTCTGCTGCTTGAACAAGGGGACGGGGATTCCACATGGGTTAAGCTAAATAGGAACAAGACACTTGTATTCCAAAATAAGAGTGTCCACACCTGGGGTTACCCTGCAGTAATTCAATGAGCAGAGAAACTCAAATTTATGGGGATTAACTTTTGTGGACTCAGCACCAAACATGTTTGCTCCCTGGGGGCTATGGAGCAGGAAGGTCAGTTCCCAGAGCATGGGTCCAGCCAGAAGCAATGGGGCATGACATGGCAGGGACAGCCCCACTCTGCCTAGCCCAGTAGAGAGGCACTATTTACAAACCAGCAGTTGCTGACACACAGTTGCCTGTCTGGCCCTGTGCTGCCAGCATGCCTCAGTCCCTAGAGGGCAGGCCCGTGTCATTCCACACAACACCCCCCCACACATACACTCACCACCTTCCCTCAATTCCCTATGGCCAGAGCCCTCAAACCTACCCTGCCCAGTGCTCCCCAGATCCTAACACAAATGCACAGCATCCTGCACAACACAACCCCTGTCCAGTGCCCCCCTGCCACCACAACTGCCCAGAACCCTCATTCTTTCATGTCCCATCACACACTTTTTTCCTGCCACCTCATAGCCCAGCACTCCACCCGCAGGGACCCACTCTTCCACTTCCTGCCTCCTGGCTGCAGTCATCGACCTTGTTGGGAAGTTATTGTGTCTGTCAGGCTGAGCCAGCAGTGCAGCCAGAGCTGTTGCTAGGGTAGGGATCATCACCTCAGCCCCCAAGAGTGGTGCGATCAGTCAGACCAGGGTCCTGCCCTGAGTAGGCTTTTATCACTTGCCTGGAGGGGCCCAGCCAACCTCCTGCCAACAGTCCCGCCCCACACCTGGCTGAGACTGACCAGGCTTCTGCACAGGATGGTGAGAAATGGAGACTGTCTAAAGCTGGAGGTTCACTGGGGTCTGGCTCCAGGGAGAGGGGGCAGAAGGAGGTGGGTGTTGGAGGCAAAAGAGGAGTAAGGGGAGAGTTAAAATGGTGGTTGTTCTTTCTCACCTGTTAATGTTATTTGGTTCCCTAAACTGTTGGAGTGTTGTCTGTTAACCCCCTATCCCTTCCCTGAGTGAGTGCAGTGAGGTAAACAACAGGAGTAAACAACAATGCACACAGCCCCAGCAGGGAGTGCACACGGCCCCAAGAGGCCCAGACTCAGAGGCTGCATGTGGCTGATCCATAAAGGAGAGAGGGACAGAAACACAGTGGTTGTTGACCATCAAGTGGAGCCTCCCAGAACGCCCTCTGCTCGGATCGCTTGGCCAGTGGACCAGCTTAGGAGTCAACGTGGGAAGATCAAACAATATGAACTGCCTTCTGCTCACCTTATCATCCTGCCTGGGACTGTAAGTGTGACTGAGTGTATGAGTGAGATTCCCCTGCCTTCCCAGTTTTAGTTGAATAAACAAACCCTTTACACTCCTATGTGGTGATCCCCTCTCCTTAGTGTTTAAACCAGTTGCAATCCACATCCCCTTGCAACAGGTGAGGCCAGGAAGCAGAGAAGAGCCATTGGCCAACCAGTGGGCAGGCTGAGAGGAGAAAGTGGTAAGCGATGGGAGCCAGAGATGTCTCAAGGCACAGTGCAAGTGGAGCTGGCTAGGGTGCTTTCTGAGCATGGAGCCACTGGCATCACTGTAAACCCAGCACTGAATTTACAGTGATATAATGTTTAAGAAACATCTGTTAGGAAATGGCTTCCTTTTCTTCTCCCACCTCTTCAGACCTCAATACAGGTATGTGGGGAGAGTGGAGAGAACGGAACAGGGAACAGTCTTAGCTCAGAACCCACAACATGCCAACCAGCAGAGCTGAGTCACTAGGCAGTGGAGAGGATGAAAGGAAAAGGAGGAACAGTAATTGATCTAAGCTCAGCAAAGTAGCAAAGTATTATTCTCTGGAGCAGTGAATAACCTCTCAACCTATCCAGACTACAGTATCCTATTCAGGAGTCTGATTTGCCTTGCAAAATCCCAAGTTTCAGCTCACTTAAAAACTACTTACTTGCAAAACCAGACATAAAAATACAAAAGTGTCTCAGCACACTGTTTACCATGTAATTTACATGCTTACCTTTTCATGTTTACCATATAATTATGAAGCCAATCTGTTAGAATATAAATATTGTATTTACATTTCAGTGTCTAGTATATAGAGCAGTATAAACGTGGCTAGTGCTTTTATGTAGACTTCTGTAAAACTAGGCAACTATATAGAAGAGTTGATGGACCCCCTGGATGATCTCTGTGTGGATATGCATGCCCTTAGACTCAGAGAACACTAGAACTGGAAGGGATCTCAAGAGGTGAGTCCAGTCCCCTGCCCTCATGGCAGGACCCAGTACTGTCCAGACCATCTCTGACAGATGTCTATCTAGTCTGCTCTTAAATATCTCCAGAGATGGAGATTCCACAAACCTCCCTAGGCAATTTATTCTAGTATTTAACCACCCTGACAGGTAGGAAGTTTTCCCTAATGTCCAGCCTAAAGCTCCCTTGCTGCAGTTTAAGCTCATTGCTTCTTGTCCTATCATCAGAGGCCAAGGAGAACAATTTTTCTCCCTCCTCCTTCTGACACCCATTTAGATACCTGAAGACTGCTATCAGCGAACCACTGCTCTGGAGCATAGGGTGGGGGGCAAGGAAGGAACTGTGGGTTTTTGGGCTCCCTATGGCTTGAATCCCATTTTTTCATTGGGATGTTCCTAGCCTGACATAACAATCAGACGCCTTTTATTATGGGTTGAGTCGTGGTGATACAATCTAGCCTTTTGCTAGCATCTGGGAACTTCACAGCTCCATTAATACATTGCTGCTTAAACCAAACATAATTGAAGGGCAAGGAATTCCCTCCAGTTACAAACCAGCTGTGCAGTGCTAATAGCTTTAACAGCAACATAATAGAGGGGTTTGTGTATTTTTGGTAGGGCTGACTCAGTGCAGCTGGAACTCTGTGTACAGCACCTTGGCACATAATTCAAGCCCCGCACAATCCACTGGCTTTATCAGCTTTGGTGTTTCCTCTTTCATCGCCAACCTCAATCCTCACTCGCAACATGGTGAGTCGTGTGGGAGCGAGCGAGACACACCTCGGGGAGTGAAGCGGGAGTTGCTTTGGTCTCGCACGGGAGCACTAGCTCCACTTTCCTGACCTGCCACGCCTGGAAGATAAATCAGCTAACTCGTTGCTGGGTGGTAGCTGGGGTGCTCAGGCAGAGTTATTCTCTAACCCGAGTCACGTCGGCGGCTCTGGCTGGAAGAGGCAAAGCGGCCGGGTTGCACGACCGATCTTTAACCCCGTGCAAGGGCCGGACGCCGTCGGGGCAGTGGGATTGCAACACGTGCCCCTCCTCTGGGCTTTACTCCGAGCAGAGACAGCGATAGGAGGCGAGGGCGGTGTAAGTGACCGGGGAGGGGAGCGGCACAGAGGCAATGCAGGACCGAGGGGAGGGGCTGGGAGCGGGGAGAGTATTTAGGGAGGCTAAAAACTATTCCCGGGAGCGATCGGCGGGGAGCCGGCTTCGGGGCCGAAGTAAGGGCGGGGGAGACCGCTGGGGCGGTGCCTAAGCGCCGGCGACCCTAGCCCCTGCGCGGCTTCGGTTGATCGCCCAGTCTCCTGTGCTCTCTTGCAGGCGCGCCGAGGAGGAGCCGGGCTGCAGCGGGCATCGCTTCTCCCGCCAGCGGCGCCGAGACAGCCAAGCCCCCGGGCCACGCGGCGCGGAGATGCCCCGGCTGCTGGCAGCCGCCCTCGCGCTGACCGCGGCTCTCAGCCCGCTGGCCTCGGCTCAGCAGGGCCCTGCCGCGGGCCACTTCGCCGACGACGTGCTCAGCCTGTTCGGGGTGAACTGCAGCCTGTCGGCCGCCCAGCTCACCCGCCTGCTGCAGACGCTGGGCGCCGCGGGGCGGCAGGGGGCAGCGACCCTGGGAGAGCTCCACCTGCTGCACCACAACGAGGTAAGGGGCGCTGGCGCCGCTCGTCCCCCTGCAGGGCTGACCCTCCTGGCCCAGCCTCCCTCTGTCTGTCTGGGGGGGTGCTGAGAGCCACTCAACCAAACTGTCAACCCTGCCTATAAGGGAAGCCGCTTCAAACCTGGGGACAGGGCTGCCCCCCACTTTCAGCACCTGTGGTCTGCTTGCCAGGTTGGCTTTGCCCAAGGCACTGCAGAGGGCTGGCTCCCGGTTGCTTCAGGGGCAGCCCAGACACAGTAAGGATGGGGAGACCAGAAACAGGCACTTTTAGAGTGCGTCTACACTGCACCATAATGCAAAATAAGATTCGCAATTTGAGCTACACAAACTGTATCTCATAAGCTATTTCAAAATACCTTATTTCATCATATTTCAAAATAAAGTGCTATTCCGAAATGTCCGGTACCCTTTGTAGAATGAGATTTAGCGGGATGTTGGAATAGCAAGCCTGAAAAAATGGGCCAGCTGTGAAGATGCGGGATAGCTATTTCAGGATACTACAGTACCCTGAAATAGCATTGCAGTGTGGATGTAGCTTTAGTGTCCTGTCTGCAGGTGGGTTGTGTGGGGTGATGGTGCCAGGGACATCAGCAGGCAGGCTGACTTTCTGCCATTTTATATTTTTGCAGATAAATTATAGATCAGTAGATAACATCCAGAAGTTAGGCAGAAATACAATTACACCGAAGTCTTGGTTTTGTAGCCAGCGAAACAGTCCAGCATAGGGGAACTCAGGGCTGAGATGTTTTAAGTAGCAAATGGTACAAAGCTGTCCAGCTAAGAGCTCAGTGCTAACAGAGGTGAGGTACAAGTATGTAAGAGAGAGAGGTTGAAATATTGATGTAAATCTCAGGATGGTTTGTGAAGAACTATGTGAGTAATTTATAGATAAGTATCCAAAATGTGTGCATGTTACATATCACCCTTCCAAAAGGGTCCATTTACTTTAGAAAAGATTTTATTTAAATGTTGCTTTTTATGTTTGTAACAAGTTAATAAAGGTAGACCTTTAAAATCAACAGGTATAACCACAGCTTGCAAACTTATTGCCAGGAGCTCTTCCATTATAGGCTACACTGTCTTATTTGCTTGAAGTCCGTTGCAACTGCACTTTCCTGTGGCATTGTGTCTGGTTATATTCTGCACCCAGCTGCAGATGGAGGACAAAACTAAAAGTCTGCTGCAGTACATGACACTTCCTTCATGCAGTGTACATACAAAAGTTATTCATACAGTGGAACCAGATTAAAACAAAACTTTATAGTGAAGGACTCCCTTACTATTATCAGTGAATTTCTGAATACAAGGTGGCTATGTCTACACTGGCACCCTTTTCCGGAAATGCTTAAAATGGAACAGTTTTCCGTTATAAGTATTTCCGGAACAAGCGCGTCTACATTGGTAGGATGCTTTTCTGGAAAAGCACTTTTTTCCGGAAAAGCGTCCATGGCCAATGTAGATGCGCTTTTCCGCAATAAAGCCACGATCATCATTTTCGCGATCCGGGCTTTTTTGCGGAAAAGACTACTGTACTGTCTACACTGGCCCTTTTCTGGAACAGTTTTTCCGGAAAAGGATTTTTGCCCAAATGGGAGCAGCATAGTTTTTCCAGAAAAGCACTGACCATTTTACATTAGATCGTCATTGCTTTTCTGGAAAAGCAAGTGGCCAGTGTAGACAGCTGGCAAGTTATTCTGGAAAACGGCTGCTTTTCCGGAATAAGTGGCCCAGTGTAGACACAGCTGGTGTGTTTTGTATATAGAATCAAATCTTGAGGTTGCTTACTCAGTCCTGAAGCAGGAAAACTTCCTGAATATTAGCAGCAGGGCAACAGAAAAAAGTCAGTATGTCAAATCCAGCAAGCTGCATAAATAGAACATCAGGATTTGAGCTATAGTGACATTGCCATGTGAAAACCAATTACTTTTTTTCTCATAAAAAGATCCATGGTATAGAGATTCTTTCTTTTCCATATTTCTTCCTATCTCTCTCTCTCTTTTTTTCTCCCCCCCATGAAATAGTTTGTTAATATTCTGGCTAGATGCCATGTGCCGCAGTCTGTGAAAATAACTTTTTTTCATCTGGTAAGTCCTGCTATATACAGCTTGGATCTCTTCCTCTTTAAACCTAGTGTTGCTTTTAAAATCAACTTTAGTTCCAATTTTCTATACAATTTCATGGCTAATAACTCAAAAGAGTATGTTTAATTGAGGAGAAGGGGGATCTTGAGGGCTGGCAATAACCCCTTCTTATAAAACTGCCACCCACTTAAAGGTAGAGTTGGGATAACTTAACTGTCTCTTGACTGACTTATTCTGCTTCTGAATTCTGTTTGCTGAATGTGTGTTTTAGTGAGAGGCAGCCTTATTGCATAGGTTGAGGGGTCTGTATTATACACAGATGAGAATATTCTGGGTGATTCAGAGTTTTTTTTTTTTGAATACTTACCAATTTCTGTTGTACCAATAAAAGCAAGCAGGATTTTGAGGGGGGATAAGGCAAAAAGCCACATTTATTGTAAAGATGATATATAAACATTCATTCAGGTTATAGTTACCAGCCTGGAAGCTGCTTGTGACAGAATACTGGCCAGGTATTCTGTCACAAGTGATGGTAGTGGGGAGTTAAGTCCTGATCAGATGCGCATCTGAAGCTCCTGGTGGGCTGGCAGCAGAATTTTGGACTCTGACTCCATAGTCTTTTGGTCCAATCTTTATAGGAATTTCTTCCTATGCCAGTCTATGGGAATTGCTGCATCATGCTGATGTCTTCAGGGTGGCTGCCAGGTGCTTGTCAGTGATCTCATAGAGTGGACCTCCAGTACTTGGTTTTCTCCAGTACTTGGTTTTCTCCACTTGACACCTTTTGGTTGCACTGGCACCTGACGCCTTCTTCAGCCCTTTGATGCTGCATTCTCAGGCTGGCACCTCTCAAACCATTCATTCATTGTCCAAGCATTCCCTCTCTCTTACATACATTCCCTAATTAATGTTTCACATAAATTATTATTATACAAAATACTGTTACATGTACAAGAGTTGTAGTTGCAAAAAGTTACAAAAGTTTCTGGTGGCATTTCTTAAAACATTCTCTCTGAGTGCTGAGTTAGTTATTGTTATAGTTACAATGTTTCACTTTGCGATTAGGGTTAAGTGCTTCACAATGCTTTGAAGAGAACAGGCGTCAATTGTGTAACAATGCCCTTAGTCAATTACAGGGCTTGGCTCCCAGAGCAGAGTTAGTGGCTGGACAAGGAGCCACTTGCAAAAGTTTGAGCGTGCCCTGGGACACAGAGAGGGGAGCTGTTTCTGGCTACATAGTATTATATTTTTAACAGTTTTAAGTTACATCACCTAATATTACATTCCTAACAAATTATATTCTAGAGGGGAAATAACTATAAATATAAACATTTAACAATCTTAAATAATAAAACATCTAAACACTTATCAAGCTTGATAACACTAACAAGAATAAATCTAAACATTATATGCTTCTACTTTAACAAACTTAGACTTTTAGTTGTAGGGAACAAATTATGGGGAGTCACTTCCACTTGGGGGAATCATTTTTAATACTTTAATATGTTATCCCTACATGTTCCTATTATAATGGTTCTTCCAATGAAATAGACCCCCTCAGTATATGTGCATTCAGTTGTCCCATGCCAGTTTACAGAAGCCTGTTGGTAGGTGTCATCACAAATATATACTTATGCTTGACAATTCATGCATTTGTCCTAATTGTGCTGATTGCATGCATAGCTGAAGAACCACTGGATAGTAACTGAAGCAAAATGCAGGACAATGTAGCACTTTAAAGACTAACAAGATGGTTTATTAGATGATGAGCTTTCGTGGGCCAGACCCACTTCCTCAGATCAAATAGTAGAAGAAAGTAGTCACAACCATATATACCAAAGGATACAATTAAAAAAAATGAACAAATATGAAAAGGACAAATCACATTGCAGAACAGGAGGAGGATGCGGGCGGGGGGGGGGGGAGAGGAAGGAAGGTAAGTGTCTGTGAACTGATGATATTAGAGGTAGGGAGAGTGGGATGTTTGTGAGTTAATGGTATTAGAGGTGATAATTGGGGAAACTATCTTGGTAATGGGTGAGATAGTTCAAGTGTTTGTTGAGTCCTTTTTGGAAAGTGTCGAATTTTAACATGAATGACAGTTCAGAGGATTCTCTTTCAAGTGCAGATGTAAAAGGTCTTTGTAGCAGAATGCAGGTGGTTAAGTCATTGAGAGAGTGTCCTTTCTGGTTAAAATGGCAAGAAACTGTTTTCTCTTTGTGATCTTGTCTGATATCTGTTTTGTGGGCATTAATCCTTTGGCGAAGTGTCTGAGATGTTTGTCCAATGTACATAGCAGACGGACACTTTCGGCACATGATAGCATAGATTATATTTCTGGATGCGCAGGAATATGTGTTCTTGATCTTATAACTCACTTGGTTAGGTCCAATAATGGTATCTGCAGAATGAATATGTGGACAAAGCTGGCAACGGGGTTTGTTGTTAAGTCTCAATGACTTAACCACCTGCATTCTGCTACAAAGACCTTTTACATCTGCACTTGAAAGGGAATCCTCTGAACTGGCATTCATGCTAAAATTCGACACCCTCCGCACCGGACTTAACAAAGACCCCAACTATCTTACACATTACAAAGATAGCTTCCCCAATTATCACCTCTAATACTATTAACTCACAGACATTTCCCCTTCCCCACCTCTAATATCATTAACTCACTGGCATTCACCTTCCTCCCCCCCCCCCCACATCCCCGTTCTGTTCTGTAATGTGATTTGTCCTTTTCATGTGTGTGCATTTTTTTAAATTGTATCCTTTGGTATATATGGTTGTGACTACTTTCTTCCACTATTTGATCTGAGGAAGTGGGTCTGGCCCACGAAAGCTCATCATCTAATAAACCATCTTGTTAGTCTTTAAAGTGCTACATTGTCCTGCATTTTG